CAGCATTAGATGCATGATGGCTAGGAAATACTCCTGGAATTACAATTGGTCTCCAGTCAACAGAGATCAGATCCCCTGGAGATTATTATCGGCTGAAGTCCCTCCCCTCCCCAAAACCCATCCTTCTCAGGCTCCACCCTCCAAATCTCCAGGAATTGCCCAACTCAGAGCTGGCAACCTTAGAAGTCAGTTCCTCACCACACTGCATTCTCTCTGCACAACTTTTGTTTCAAACTGTGTGGAGAAAGTGTGGTAAGAGGTCATATCAAGCCTCAGCTGCTAGTTACAAAGTCCTCACATGGGCACCTGCGAGGCCCTCATGGTCTATAGCAGCAAAAAGCCAAAGAATGCTGTCATACCAGCATAAAATGTTCACCGATTTCTCTGTGGCATGAACTTTGCTAAGGAAGCAGCTGCTTCTTCTGACCCTTAAAGAGAAACATGAATCTGAAGCAGGTTTTTGTGTCTGCCAAAAGCAGAGCCGACCACGAGTGTGAAGCTAGGCATTCCTTTTGCATGGCAGACGAGTTAGCAAACTAGTCAGCATTAACAAAAGCACAAGAGTGAAGACAGCAGCATTAAAGGTAGGGTGGTTTTTCATGCCCGAAAGCAGGGGACACACAAACCTCGGCAAGTCCGGCCTCCAGTGGCAGCTGCAGAGCCTGCCTGGACTCTGAGCTGCAACCTGGGATCTCTCTCCGCCTAATCCCGACCACAAAAGTTGTTCTCTGCACTCGGCACTTCAGTTCACAAATATTAAATAAGAATAAGGTGGGGGAGAAATAGGCTGGGTTTTTTCAATAGCCCCTAAATGTTAATTCCATGTGCCCACCTTATTTTCACATGATTGTTAAGCACCTGCCTATTCTAAAGTTTGTAGCAGCCAGTTATCTCATCTCACAGAGGCTACTGTGCTGACCAGCAGGTAACTAATTCTGGGTAGATTTGCTGGGGCCAGAACAGCAGCTGCTTCATGGGTGGATTCACATGTTTATCCAGGTGATGGCGGAAAAGGTTAAAAAGGTTAAAAGGGTCTGTCTGTACCCTTCTTCACCTTGCACATTACGGAATGCATCGCGTGGAAACACCATGAAGAGGCCTTTGTGCTCCAAGGCCCAGACAGAGTGGGGTGAGGAACAGATTGTGCCTATCAGATCTCTGTATGGATGTCCAGTGTTAGGGTAGTACATTGTGGAGGAGTAGGAGGACCATTCCTTTGCCACAGGAAAGGGACCGTGTCAGCCAGGTAAGTGACTCTGGGGTTGTCCTGTATTTATGAGGTGTTAGTATCCATAGAACTGTAGCCTTCAGTCCAAGGCACAAAGCTTTTTCTACTCAGCTGTCACAAGACGGAGGGAGGGAAAGAAATAAAGAAACTCCCCCCCCTTTTACTGTCTAAAATGTAAACATATGAAGGTACCACACACTGAGACAAACGATTGACCCAGTACTGACCACTCTGATTGGCAATGATGGCCCAGGTCCAAACACTCAGCTGTTGAGATAGAAGTCGGTCTTGCCAGGAACTGGACCATGCCTGCAAAGTCCATTCTACCCATGGGAATCTATGTCTACTCCCCATTTTTTCAAGGCACGGCCCTGTTCTCCTCAGCCGCATGGTGTTGTGCGAGATTTGAATCCAGACCCTTGTGCACCCATAGCGAGAATCTTGAGCCTGCATTACCAACAAGAGTCATGTAACTCAGGACACAGACTGGCCTCCCGATTGGCTGGTGGTTGCATATATTCTCTCTTGAAATGAACACTGCATGTTAGATGCTTCTTAGCTGCTTTTGATCCTTTACAATGAGGCAGAGCCTTTGCTTGTGCACTGGTCCCCACCAAGCAGTCCCTGAGAAGCATGCCCGGACCTTATCCCAGACATTTGGTCTCATGGGGTGGGGGGGGTAAGGAATCCGAATAGGGATAGTGGTACAATCAGATATCTGTCTCAAACAACTTCGCCACTAGAGAGAGTGGGTAGGAGAGAGCATATGCATGGTATTGATGAACCTTGACAGTTCTGCAAAGGGGAGGGGGTCCTGCAGGGATCTCCCAGTCTTTTCACAGGCTCTGAGGCGAGTGCTGAGATTGAATTCACACGTGCCTCTCAAAAAGGCTTTCGAAATCTTCTCCTGCTGTTGGGATGGACACATGAAAAGGGCAGTTCTAAAGGTGCTTCTGTCAGGTTTCTGGATGGATGGATGGCCACGCAAGATGGTTGACATCCTTTCCAACTTCCAGCACTTTACAATGCCGATGTAAATTCAGTCTGAGGATGGGCAAAGGGGCTGCTAGGCATAGCAGCAGACTTGAAAGGCTCGCCCCCCCCACACACAACCACCAAGAAGAAGCACCTGTTAGAATTAGTTTGCTAAACCAAAGAGTTTTCCCGCCCAGCAGTATTTGCATCAATCCACGGTATGACCTCTGCCTCCTTGGGGAAATGGAGGGCTGGGCCATTCCCAAATCACAGCTGCCATTTGGTTCCAGTCCTGAAATCCTCCATGGGCCTGCAAAACATACCTATGCTTCTCCCCTGGGCTGGGAGTGGAGGGGGGGGTACGCTCAAGGTTCCGCAGGGCCTGCAAAGTGGAGCTCTTCCACCAGGCTTTCAGTGGAAGCAGCAGATGTTCCGCCATTCTTGTCTCCCTGTTCATGGCCCCGCGGCTTTAGATAACGACTTGGGCACAGGAGCTTTCTATTCCCCTGACATGAGGCATGGGTCCTTTATGTTACTGTTTATTGTGCCATCTGTTGTTTTATTGGTTTTATCACTTGTATTGTTTTATGGATCTCATGTTGTAAGCCGCCCTGAGCTGAGTCTAGACCCAGCAACCCCAACCTTAACCCTAAATCTGAGGGCCAAGGTACTCATTAGCGTCACATCCTGGCGACGGCGGCGCAACGCGTATCGCTGTCCCCCGTGGCAGGGATCCTGTAAAGACGTGTGGATCCCCCGCCGCGGCTTGGCAGCCCTAGTGCTCATGGAGCTGAAGTTCTCCAGATGTGCTCTTTGGCCCTAAAACCTGTCGAGGGCATATGGGCAGCACAGGAGAAGGAAGGGGTTAATTCTTCCACGGTTTCCCTGAATGAAAAACAACCTTTAGGGATTTAAGTCCCAGTAAGGGAAACAAGGAAACAATGAAGGCTTATTAAAGATACCCATTCTTTTCCCCTGCCAAAATTTAAAGCAGCCCAGGGGATCATCCTCAAGTGGAGAAATTATGCCAGGAGAAAAAATTTAAATTCTCCCTTTCTGCAGAACCACAACTCTAATCCACATGAGCTCCCCCACAGCTGCTTTTAAAGGGCCAAACTCCATCTCTGGAGCGCCTGTCACCAATGTTCCCTCTAAGCTGTGGAGTCTTGTGAGCAAAAATTCTACTTTGTGAGCTACTGGCATTAAAGTTGTGAGCGAGCACTTTGGGTACTGCATAAATTAGTTAGCTCTGGAGCCATCCTTCCTGAGCTAGGACAAAAATGTGTGAGCCAGAGGCTAAAAAATTGTGAGCTAGCTCACACTAACTCAGCTTAGAGGGAACACTGCCTGTCACCAATTTCCAACTTCACGTGTGGTTTGGCCCGGAGCAGAGATCACAGAATTGGGACACAGAGAAATGGGATGTCTTGGCTGCATCCCATCAGACCATCCTGACTAATGGGCTGACCCTCTGCAATGGGGCCCATTTGAACCAATACAGAAACCCTAACCCTTACTCTGGTGAGATCAACGATGACTACACCCCAGAGGCCCTGCTTTTTCTGCAGTTTCCACCATACACACACACCCAGTTCAGAGAGATCAAGCCTTGTTCTAAACCTCTGTTCTTGTTAAGTCCATGTGCATGATGGACAGGTGAATGATTCAGATGGTCTACCATAAAATGCCCAGGGTGTAGGAGGGGTGTAAAGCGTTTTAATTTCCTGAAAGGACTCAGCTTTCAGATGCTCAGAATTGCTGAGCTCACGTGGGGTCCAAGGAGTGTCCAAAAAAAAAATGTTTTGTGTTGATGCTAAGACATACCTTTTGGTACCATCTCTTCCATACAACACCACATACTGAAGTCTCCTGCTTCCAGTTTCTAAGAATCTAATGACTCAGGACATCCAGTAGGTGAGGTATCAACAGTGCCAAAAAAATTTGAAGATAGAGAGATGCCAGGATCTTTATCCTCTTGTCAGACTTGCACCCTAAATCCTTGATGGGTGGGAGCTCCTGGCAAGGGCTGATCAAGGGCTGATGATGGGGCTGCCAAGAGCTGCCAGATAAGGATTCTCACATGACTGAGGCACAGCCTCCACATCACATGACAACAAAACACGTTACTTGCTGGGGCTCCAGGGCCCCACCCCAGGTGAACAGGGCTCCCAGCAGCCCTGGGTGGCATTCTGCACATGATCAGAAGCACCTCATACCCAGCCACAGATGAGGGCACAAATTCAAACAAAGCCCCTGATACGGACACATTTTGCAATGCCTCTCTTCCCAGCACAATGCCCACTAATCCTGTGAAAGCAAAATGACATGCGTATGAGACGATACGTCCCTTCCGCCTGCACTGTGCCTTTGCCTGGGACATAGAGCTGCCCCGTGTGTGGATGATAAACTATCTTCAGAAGACTTCTAAAAGGAGCGGTGCGGAGGCACATGCCTGCCTGAAAACCCAGCCACCTCTGGCGGAGAAGCTCTGCCCCCTGAATCTCAGACTCACTCACGGATGAGGGGAATGCATGGTCATGGTCGTCAGAGGCATCCCACCGCTATCTGTCAGTTTATAGGGCTGCCCTTTTACCTGGGAAAGAGGCACCCATTCACAGCACAGCCCCTGGCTCTTAGGCACAACCAGATCCGAAGACCTGGGACCACGTCTGGGAAGAGCAGCGACTCCCCGTCCCTTTTGGGAAACTTAGTGGCTGACTACTGGTGCAAAGGCAGATTCCCAGGGCATGCACACACAGTCGCACATCGCTGGCCCCGTGGCCCACGCCTTCCCTACCTTCCGTGCCTGTGACTGTCAGCGTGGCCGTGGTGACGGCTTCGCCATGCTCATTCCTGGCTACGCAAGAGTAGACCCCGCCGTCCGTCACTTTGCTGTTGCGGATCCAGAAGCCGCCGTGCTCCTCTGCCTCGTTCTCCTCCTGCTCAGTATGGGCAACGGGCACCTTCTCTTTGTACCAGCTCAGATGTGGCCAGGGGCTGCCAGCCACCACCACCCTCAGCAGAATGCTGTGGCCAGCGCGGGCAACGGTGTCCTTCAGCTCCTGCAGGAAGACGGGGGCAGCGGGGTCCCCCTGCTCCGTTGCCACTTTTGCTCTCTTAGGAGGGATGGCCGGGCTTGGGGGAGCCCTCCCCGAGCCCCGCCCTGTCCCCCCGGCCTCTTCTGCGGCCTGGCTGGGTCTGTTCAGCCCCTGAGAGGTCTTCATGGCTGGGGCCTGAGAACTCAGTAGCCGTTTGCGGGGTCTGTGGTTGCCGTTCTATCCCACAGCAGCCCCCCAGCAGCCCAGCAAAGCCCCCCAGCAGCCGTTCCCCTTGCTTGATGTTCACCCTCTCTGTGCGTGACCCCCAGTCGCTGGGTACCTGCCAGGGGGCATTGACGCTGCTCCAGGTGCCTGCCCACCCAGCCAGACAGAGTCCCAGAAGGTCATTTCGCTACCAGGCAAGGGGTTATTTTTAGGCTGGTCTCAGGTTGCAGTCAGCCCATCCCAGCACTTCAGGGGGGGCCCCCACCGTAGCAGCTGCCGCCTGATGGTCACATTCCTTGACCAAGCCGAGTACAGCTGAGCGTATGACTGGGGTGGCTTAGCACGCCGCCTAGCAAAGATCGACGTGGGCGGGTGGTGCTTTCCACAGTAGTGTTGGGAAACGGAGCCTCTGAGATCCAGCCCACCCTTCCCTATTCCTGCAGAAGAGACATCACATCAGGGACACGTGGGATGCCTGCTGGGAGAAGGAGGTGCTCTCCACAACTGCTTAGGGAGCACCGGACATGTTAGGATGTAGCTCAGCCTTCTGTGCCCCCAGCATAGCCACGGTTCTCTGAGATGAGAAACCGAGAGAGGCTGCAGGTCAAGGGCTAGCAAAGCTCAGGTAGCTGGGGGTGGAGGGGCTGCAAGTGAGGCCGGCTCATCCCCTGGGGATGGAACAGTTGTCCAAAGTGCGGATCCTGCAGGGAGAGCCAAACCACAGCAGAGGGCTTCTGGGGAGGGTTGCCAGGTCCAGGTTAGGAGACTCCTGGAGATCTGGGGATGATGCCTGGGGAGGACAGGGACCACCTCAGTGGTATACAATCAGGGCCGGCTCGCCCGCTAGGCAAACTAGGGGCTCGCCTAGGGCGGGCCGGCCCTCAGGGGTGCCAAACTGCACCCCGCCCCCCAACCCCCGCCCAAACCGGGCGCCCTCCCCTCTCGCGTGCAGGGCCGGGGTCAGTTTGCCCTTAGCAACTCAGGAGTGCCCGGCGGAGGGAAGCTGTAATGTATTGAAATGATTACATGAATCACCTCATAGGACTCCCATGTTAAGCTTCGAGCCAGACCAGGGCTCCTCTGAGCGAACTTCCTATTGGTCGCTTCGTAACAGCGACCAATCAGAACGATACCATTCCCTAGGAGGGAAAGACTCCCATTGGTCCTTAACTAAGCAATCTCATTGGTTGTTAATTGTAAATAGGCGTGGCTACATTAGCCCGGTTATGTTTAAAAGGAGCATAAGCTCCCACTGTTTTCTGTTCTGGTTTCTTACTGAGTTAGTGCTTGCTCGTTACTTCCAATAAAGCTGAATCACTTGCTGAATCACTCTAAGAGTCCTTTGTTAGCGCGATCTAACAATTGGCGACGAAGGTGGGATGTTAGAGCAGGTAGGCAGCCCTGCGGACATCCACACTTCGGACTCGGAAGAAAGCGAGCAGAGCACAGCAGCCGATCCGGCGGAGGCGCCACCAGCTCCGGTGCCCAAGTCTCCCACGATGGCTGGAAGCCAGAAGTTCGAGTGCTTCGAACCCTCCTCAGAAGACTGGGACTCCTACCTGTCCAGGTTCGAGTTCCATCTGGAGACACACGACATTACAGACGAGGCCAAGAAACGGGCGTGCCTCCTGAGTTCCTGCGGGAAGGGGACCTTCGACATAGCCAGGTCGTTGGTGGCCCCAACTGATATAAAGACTGTCACCTACGCTGACATCACGGAGAAGCTTAAGGCTCACTATTCTCCACAACCGTCGGAGATCGCCTGCCGGCACGCTTTTTACAAGCGGAACCAGGCCGGAGGCGAGACCATCGCAGATTTCGTGGCGGCCCTTCGCAAAGCCGCACGGCCATGTAATTTCCACAACGTGGAGGAAGCCCTCAGAGACCGTCTCGTCTGCGGTCTCAAAGATGAAAGGCTGCAACAGAGGCTGTTCGCCCGCACCACCCTGACCTGGGCAGTGGCCTACGAAGAGGCCGTGGCCGCGGAAGCAGCGGAGAAGTCCACGAAGGAGGTCCGCCAGCGGGTGGCAGAGCCCAGTATACACGCTCAACGAGACAGCGAGGGCGAAGACGCGGATGATGACGTCAACGCGGTTCGAGGCAAGCGGACCCCAGCGAAGACTACCAACGTCAAGCCTTGCTCCGGTTGTGGCGGGAAGCACCAGCGCGACTCCTGTTGGGCTCGTGATGTCGACTGCAGAGCGTGTGGGCGGCGTGGTCATCTGGCCAGAGTCTGCAGATCAGCGAAGAAGGATCCCTCAACTAACAACCGGTCAGCGCAGAGGGGCACTCCAGTCAGCACCCAAGGCAAGACCCGTTCCTCAGCATCGGAAGCAAGCTGCCAGTTGACGGCGACCTTGTCGAGCGCATCGGCCGTAAATCGCACCAGCAGCCAGGGCAAGATCACCGTGACTCCACTCCTCGACGGCCGACCCTGTACAATGGAGGTGGACTCAGGATCGTCCGTGACGGTGATTTCTGCCGCGTCCTGGCGCCAGTTGTTCCCGAACCGAAGCCGGCGGCGGCTCCAGCCTGCGGGAACCAGAGTGTCCGACTTCCAGGGCAACCGAATTCCCTTGGCCGGACGGGACTCTGTTACTGTTGAGTATAAGGGGAAATGTGTTAAACTGTCATTCCTGATTGCAGAGGGAGACCGGGTTAACCTGCTAGGGTTAGATTGGTTTGAGCCATTGGGCATTGGTATTTCTGGGATTAACAGGATGTCTGAAAATAAATGGGGCATGCTGTACGACCTGTTCCCTGATGTATTTGCCGAAGGGTTGGGGAGGTACAAGGGCCCCCCGGTTGCGTTTGACTTAGATCCGTCAGTCAAACCTATTAGGTTGAAGTATCGGAAAGTACCTGTGTCTCTCAAACATAAGGTGGAAAAAGAGATTGACAAACTAGTTGAGCAAGGGGTTTTAGAGCCAGTACCATACAGCAAATGGGAGACCCCGATCGTAACCCCTGTCAAATCAGATGGGTCCATACGACTATGCGCCGATTACAAATGTACGATTAACAAGGCGCTGCAGCAACATTCGTACCCGGTCCCGGTAATAAGCCACATTTTGGCTTCCCTGGGGGGTGGCAAGATTTTCGCCAAATTTGACCTGGCCCAGGCATACCAGCAGTTGCCTGTCACCCCGGAGGCTGCCGAGGCCCAAACAATTGTAACCCACCAAGGGGCTTTTAAAGTGAACAGGCTGCAATTCGGGGTCAACGTAGCACCTGGGATTTTTCAGGGCCTCATGGAACGTCTACTAAGGGGGGTACCTGGCACAGTGCCCTATTTTGACGACGTGCTGATTGCGGGCGGGTCTGAACAGGAACTACTGGACCGGGTTAAAGAGGTCCTCAGGCGTTTTCAAAATGCCGGTCTCAGAGTTAAGCGCTCAAAATGCACGCTCGGGGTGGAAAGTGTGGACTTCCTGGGGTTTCGCATTGACGCAGAGGGAGTCCACCCCACGGATGAGAAGGTATCTGCAATCCAAAACGCCCCCAGGCCGGTGAGTAAGAAGGAGCTCCAATCCTTTTTAGGACTCCTGAATTTTTATCATGCGTTTTTACCGCATAAGGCATCAGTGGCGGCCCCTTTGCACGCGCTTTTGCACAAGGAGGCAAAATGGAAGTGGGGGCAGGCCGAGGAAAAGGCTTTTGTGGGAGTCAAGGAGCTGCTGACATCTAATGCCGTACTCACGCATTATGATGAACACAAGCTCCTGGTGTTAGCTGCTGACGCTTCACCTTTTGGAGTAGGCGCAGTTTTAAGCCATCTGATGCCTGATGGGAGCGAAGCGCCTATCGCTTTTTATTCTAGATCACTATCTGCGGCAGAGCGGAACTATGCCCAGATAGACAAGGAGGGTCTGGCGTTGGTAGCGGCTGTCAAAAAGTTCCATGATTTTATTTTTGGCAGACGATTTTTGCTGGTCACTGACCACAAGCCGCTACTGGGGATTTTTGCGCCCGATAAGCAATTGCCAAACATCATGTCCCCACGCATGCTTAGATGGGCGATATTTTTGCAGGCTTATGATTTTGACTTAGAGCACCGGCCTGGGAAAGCGATTGGGCATGCGGATGCCCTCAGCCGGTGCCCGGTGCCGGACATTGGCGCAGACCCTGCCCCCGCCTGTGAGGTCTTGGCAATTGAGGAGCTTCCTCGACCCCCGGTATCATCCAGGGACATTGCAGCACACACGGCCAAGGATAGCGTGCTGTCCCGAGTATTAAACTGGGTTTGGAGGGGGTGGCCGGTTGGAAGCGTTGAACCGGAGTTCGGCCCTTACAAAAGCCGTCAAAATGAACTATCCATTTCTAAGGGCTGTGTATTATGGGGGAACAGGGTGGTGGTTCCTGACAAACTCAGGACGAGAGTGTTAGAGTCGCTGCACGAGGGTCACCCCGGTATGGTACACACCAAAGCGTTGGCCAGAGGGTATGTCTGGTGGCCGGGGCTGGACAAAGAGATCGAAGAATGGGTACGAGGGTGTCCCAAATGCCAGCAAGTCAGACCCGATCCCCCACAAGCTACACCCCAAGGCTGGGAGTCATCTGGTAAACCCTGGGCCAGATTGCATATAGATTTTGCTGGCCCTCTCCAAGGGCAAATGTTCCTAATTGTGGTGGACGCTATGTCCAAATGGCTGGAGGTCGTGCATATGAAATCGACCACATCACTTGCTGTGATCCATGCGCTCCGCCGACTTTTTGCCACCCACGGGTTGCCTGACGTCATCGTCAGTGACAACGGGCCTCAATTTGTGTCTGAGGAATTTAGGCTCTTCCTCACGAGTAATGGCATACGCCAAATGACTTCGGCCCCTTTCCATCCGGCATCTAATGGCCAAGCCGAACGGATGGTCAGGACGGCCAAAGAGGCCCTGGGTAAAATGGACGAAGGGGACTGGAGCCAGAGGCTGGGCTCCTTTCTTTTGCTGCAGCACACCACCCCCTGTAGTGCTACAGGCCGTAGTCCGGCCGAATTGTTAATGGGGCGGAGACTCACGACCCGTTTGAACCGAATGCACCCAGACCTCACTGAAGAGCAATCCGAGCGTACCACGGCGCAACCGAAGGTGCGCATGTTTGAAAAAGGGGACAAGGTTTTCGCACGAAATTATGCAAACGGG